ATCGATAAAATCAACCTTTAGGCTGTCGCGGGGTTGACAACGAGGCCGCTGTCTCGAAGCTAGTCACTCAGCCTGGTCACCGCCATTGACAAACGAGTCGCCAACGCCAGCAGTGGCGGTAGGTTGTGACAAGTGTGGTGCAATATTGTCAGCAAATTCAGTACTTAGGATAAGATGAGTGACAAAGGGAACGTTGTGTTTGATGATATTGAAGTGAACAGGGATGATCACAAACCCTGCGCGTACTCTACCGTGAGTTACAAGAAAATTCCGGACTGGACGACGAGCAAACGCCAACCTGCTACATCCAACCAGGCAGATACTATTACGATAGCTGCCAAACCAGGTCAATGCCGACCTACTGCATAATGTCAATGTCAAACAGATCCTGTAGGAGAAGACTGGGGTGTTGGCGTCCAGTCACTGAGTGTACAGACACCAGTCACATTTCCTGTGTCTTTTGCAGCATACAGGCTGAGACTCATCACTGTAGAGTCCGCTACTGCATGAGTTTTATTTGTACAATACATGGCAGGCGTACACGGTGTGCCTCGCAGGACTGCGAGGTGCTGCAGAAGACCAGGTTCGACCTTTCTGGACCGCCATTCACCGACGGTGGGCTACACGATGCTGGAGGAACTAGATTCCAGTGAAAACCCAAGATTCCTTTGCTCCTGGACGCTCCGACGTGTTGTGATATCTGCCAGGTGCGCAGTAACTAGTATTTTCATCGCAACAGCGAGGACGACGCCAATCGGCAAACTCTCGCTCACAGCCATCACCAGCCTCTCAAAACCATCATTTGGCATCCCCCAGAGGTACAGGAGAAAGCCAAAACAGCTCACAACAAACAAAAGCTAAGGACGATGGAAAGAGAGCATGTCAAAAAGAAGACGAACAGTATGAAGTTCAAATGGTTTTGAACACTCGTACCACCAACTATATATACCACTTTCAATAAATCGTGACGCCATTTTGTTTTAACATGAATATCGCGGATAATATATTTAGCTTTTCTGCTGTCGAGGCCTCCTTTTACGGAATACTCAATGACAGGTGATCTCTGAGTTGACCACTTTCCTTCGATTCATTTGCTTATGCCCACCCTTTCATTTACGGAAACGTGTGCTGATTTTATTCGGATTTAGATCCACTCGTATCTCCTTGCCCTTGCCAACAGTGTGCGAAGAACGCGAGTTCAGCTTCTTGACGGTAAGGCTTATGTTGCTGCTGAGGCTTAGATGTTTTGTAGAACTACTCATGTTCATTGTACATTGGTACGTTACAAGTAAGGCACTGGTCATGATTGCTTCCGGCATTCCGTGCTCCGATCATAGGGTAGAATCTGAATTTTGCAGTGGCATAGCATCGTTGGCAGTTCCCAATCTGGAGGGGAAGGTTCAAGGACGCATTGGCCGAGTATGCATAATAAATTCGGATATCAGCGAAAATCTCCATTATGAAGAGGTTCATGCATTCAGTGACTTGTTTGCTTCATACGAAACAAGCCAATGGGTGCAGTCTCGTCTCGTGAAAATCTCGTACCATTGGATTTGTTTACTCGAGTCTGGGCTGTTTGATTTGTGAGTAGCGCCGAGATTGCACTGCCCCAAATAAAGTTGCGTGCCGGCAGAGCAAGAATTACGATCTGCAATCTGTTTGTAGTACCTGCAAGAATGTGCTGTACATGTATCGTATTTTCTCTGCTGTTGTTTCAGTTGCCGTCATGTTGCTAAAGAAAGGTTCAGTGACTCATTTGTTTCATACAAGACGAGTCAATGGTTTGGTCTGGCTTAGAATCTTTCGCTGTAGAAGAAATCTATTCGTGTCTCTATTGGAGAAATAATTGTATTCACTCGTTATAAAATAGGGTTAAGACAAACTCACAGAACAGATACCATCGGTCCCTTGATGTTCCTCCTAAAGTAGCTAGTGTTGAAACGAGCGTATCTATAACAAACGAGCGATCAGTTCCACTAACGAGCAAGCTATCGAACGAGCTAACGAGTTTCATTGATGTGGCAAATAATGATTCTTTTAAAAATATTTTTTTCCTAAGTTCGATTTTTTTTCAATTCAGCTGGTCCAAATTATCACCACCGGCGTTTGGGGTTGCTGCTGCTTCACTTCGGACTGCTGTTTGGTGTCGAGATGTCTTTTCAGCTCCGTCATTGAGTAGCCTTTGTAAGAATAGACCGTTTTGCAAAGACTGTAGCCCTGTTCTTCGCTGCATCGCGGGAGAAAACTTCCAAACGACTGAGCGTAACTTTCACTCGAATCGAGAGTTGACAGAAGTTTGTCCTGCAGCAGGTCAGCAGATGCGGAACAAGACATCAGTGGAGTCCACGAAAGCTGCAACCACAACTGAAACAACTCAGTGTCGTGCAGGCGGCATGCAGTCACTGTAACTGCGAGTGATTTTCACTTTGCACGGGACTGGACTCTCGATCGACCAGGGAGTCGTAAAAAAAATTCTGACTCCCCGCTCGACTTGTACTGCCATGTGTACAGATTACGGTGTACGGTGTTCGTTAGTGCAAACGAGCTGGCTGCACAAACGAGCCGAGTTTCTGGCGAGCGAGCTAACGAGTACCCGGTGAGATCGTTTCAACACTAAAAGTAGCCCTTGGCGGATTATGCCGGCATAATATTTGGCATAATCTTGGGATTTCGTCAAAAAATTATGCTCCGGCATAATATACGGATTCCAACGTGTAAGGTCGGCATGATCTTTCGGTTTACACAAAAATTATGCTTAGGGCATAATACAGCTTTGTCCTCCGGCATAATATAATTCCAACGTGTAAGGTCGGCATAATCTTTCGGTTTACACAAAAAATTATGCTTAGGGCATGGCTGTGTGTGTGCGTGGTTTCTCAATCCACTATGTACAGCGTGAATACATAGTGGAACCGAGCATAATTCAGCATATTTGTTGGCATATTTGTTGGCATAATTGTGGCATAATCAAAAGCATAACTTGACGATTGGCCGAGCATAGTGCGCCAATGGCTATCCTAAAGAGGTTTGACTGGATATCATTCATACTCCCCCAAAGTCGTGTAACATTTTATTATTATGGAGTGCCTTGTTTATCTCTCAGTACCTCCAACCATATATCCTTGCCCCTTATATCCTCAGGACCAGTGTAGTTGTTGGAAAGAGGTGTCGGACAATGTATTTGTTTACATTTTAATATATGTTTATTGTTCCTACTTTGCTGTGTTGTTTTAGACAATCGTGGACTTGTAACATTTTGAAGTAATTGAACTGCTTCCAAAAATTTTATTGACATCAACAGGATTACGATTTCAGTACAATATGATGCCGGATCACCTTATCACGACAACCCATGACTACAATTATAAACACAAAATCAACAAAACATCAGCGGCACGCACCTGGTTACAATTCTCAAGTAAATGTGATTTAGGGTGTGGACATCTGAATTTTCTGAAAGACAAGACAATTTTAAGAGAGTCATGAAATTTTGCAACAACAACATCCACAGAATGACCTGCGTATAAAAAAAAGTATCACCGCCACTACCCATATGATTCCCCTGCAGCAGAACATGAATATGCAAGACTATAAATGTAGTGCTATTTTCTGCAAGGAAAGGCTTGCACATCAATGCGTAAAATACGGTATTGAATTTGATATGATGCACATGTAGGCCATCATTTAGGGCATTCCATTGGTGACACAATTATTATAAATAATAGCAAGAGTGTTTATGGACTCTTGATAATATCAAGAGTACATAACGGGGGTTATGTACTCTTGATAATGTCCTTAGCTAAAAAAAACAAAAGAAATTGTAGCAATAAAAACTGCTTTATGGCAGTTTTCTAAAAAAAGTTATTGTGTTCTAGTCCATGGACCCCGTCTAAAAAGTAAGAAATTAACGAAATGCAATGGCCGAAAATTAAAATTTCACACAAAACCTCACAACTTTTTTTAGAAAACTGCCATATTAAAAGCAGTTTTTATTGCTATAATAAGCATGGTGGTGTCTGTCATTGTGTACCGGGCGGCATCCGGGGACTTCGCCTCTTCCATAGATCTACGTGGTATGTTTGCTCCGCCACACCGCCTGTTCTATCTTGCGTACTCGATTAGTACTGTCCCTTGGCCTTGGCTGAGGCTTAGTACGCGCGCTGGAGTCCTTTCGTGCCATGAAAGGAACTGCTTCCTAATATAGAGATTAGGCGCCATGAGCCCTGCTTGTAGTAAACATTGCAGTAGGGAGGTTTAGTCCCACGTAATCCGTGGGTACTTTACGTGTGTGTACCACGTGATACTCAGTGACCCACATACAGGCGTTTTCTGATTCACGACATACCGTGTATGGAGGCTCACCCACGTTCCGCCAGAACGTGGGTGAAAATCAGAATGGAGCGCATTGTGCGAGCTGTGAGGGTGCTCAGCTGAAGAAGTTTCCGAAGCACGAAATCAAAATATTGGATGAGCTTCTTAGGCCCGGGTAGCTTCGTCTTTGACCAGGTTTGGGCCTTTCGCTTTATGCTTTTGTTTGTTCCGTGTGACTAAACACAACATTGCAACGTGGGTGCCCTTCATCCACTTTACGTGGATCACCCACGTACGCGTTTCCGTTACGTGGGAACTAAACCTCCCTAGTAATAGTAGCGCTGATACCTTTATGCAAATATGGGGTAGTCTCGCCCGCGCATATGGGCGTACTCGTACTGCGGCCTGGGCTTTCCCCAGTACGGCTGCCCGCCATTGCATGCCAGACAGCCCCATTGTTGCGCGCCTAGCCACGCGCGTGGCTTTTGCCTGCTGCTCCGTTGTCAGCGATAACTACGGTTTGCCGTACGCTGCAAACCTACATTATTATTCAGTAGTATAGGTCACATGCATGTATCTGTGAAGCATGATGAAACGTACAATGTAGATACGCCGTCCTCTTCTCAGCACTTCTGTACTGACATGATAATGCTCGATCACCACCATGGTCTCATACATACTTGTATAGATCCTGGGAATATTGTCTTCGCAACTCATTATTGAACGCCCTTAGCTAGCATCATTGAATTTTTTTGTTTCAAAGCGGTAGCTAGAGTACTGAGGGGATAGTGTTGACTTGACACACCGCTACAGTCCATAACGAATAGTGACCGAGACGACTCTACTGCAGACACAATGTCACATTCTTGCGAGCTAACACTCGTCTCTGGAGAGGAGAATGAACCAGACCCGCACCCTTCGGAGAAACCCGATCGAGTCGTCATCCTGATGGGCCGTACAGGCAATGGAAAGTCAACGCTGGCCAACGTTATCGCCGGTCGACCAAGAGGAGACCTCTTCCCAGAGTCCGCTAGAGTGCTATCGGAGACTGTTGGAACTCCTTCAAAGCGAGTCGCTGTGAGGTACGGCACATCTCCCCGTAAGCGATATGTCCTGAAAATCGTGGACACGATCGGGTTTGGCGATACGGGGAAGTCTGCCGCGGATGTGCTAAAACAGCTTGGAGATCTGGCATCTGATTGCCGTAGTGGAATTCATCAGCTGTTATTCGTAACTCGAGGCCGCTTTACAAAAGAAGAAGAGGACGTGTTCGATCTCGTTCGGACAGTCATATTCGAATCATCCATCATACACCACATCTGTGTTGTGCGCACAGGCTGTGACGACTTTGAGGACGAGGAGCAGAATGAGGCCATGCGACGCGAGCTTCGGACTGCACTGCCATTGCTGAAGTCAGTCAAGATCATTCCGGTCAATAATACCAAGGTCACCAGGCGCAACGAGCGTGGTGCCCTGGAGGAGAGAGCAATCTCCCGACAGCGACTGCTGACGCATTTGATAACACAATGCTCCTCTGCCTACGTGCCGAGTCGTGACGTTATTCGCGGCGTGCAAGGCAGAATTGAAGGCCACGTTCGTGAACAAAATCGACATGAACGAGAACTCCAGGAAACCAAGACAAAATTGCTGGAGTTCAAAAGTCAGGTGCAGCGTCAGAAGAATCAGCAGGATATCGACAAGCGGAACATGGATGCAGCCATTGCCCGCATGCGCTCACAAGAGCAGTCAGCCATTGCCGAAGCGCAGAGGAGCACAAGACAATTGGAAAGTGCTCAACGAGATCTAGAACGAAGCCAAGCCGACCTGCGATCGAAGGCAGAATCTATGACACGCGACGCACGTGTACGGGATCGTCTCCAGCAAAGGGTGCGAAACCTGGAGCAAGAGCTGGAAAAAAAGAAGGCTCGGCTCGCAAGAAGTGAATCAGAACGATCATTCATGCAGCTCAGTGTTCAGGTTACTAAACTCCTTATAAACAGTGCGATACTTAGGATAGAGTTGGAGGCGAGTTGTGCTTAGCTCCGTAAATTCTAGTCTTGCCCTTGTTCCTTGTGGACTGTTGTGGTGTTCCCACGGATGCGCAAAACTCGGTCTAACCGAGTCTACGCGAACCGTGATGTGTTTGTCATTAAAATCACTGCTGGTATTTCTCATACTATGGTTCCTATATGAGTCCTGTTTGCATGCTTTGTCCACTAGTGCAGAGACTACTCCTGAGCAGCGCTGTATGAAATGAAATGTTTTGAATCCTTCTCCGTTGTTTCCTATTCACTTTTGTTGTTTCCATCGATGGTATGTTCCTGTGTGAAATGCTTACTGCGCTACTCGCACTACTCGCAGTCATAGCGCCATTGATTGATTTTATTTGGATTCGCGAGACCAAACGAGCAGGAGTGCTAAATAACAGGGTAGCGAATGGTTGAATTGTGCTATGTGACAATGCAATGTGTGCGTAGGGTGGTGGTGGGGGTGGGGGTGGGGGGCTGCGGAGACCCTATGCAATGCAAGACCGGGTATTTGAGGTGAGAAGGCCAGCGGAGAGTCAGACTCAGAAGAGGGAGGAGAGAATAGCTGAAGTACACGTTTACTGTGCGAGTTCAAATAAACCAAACAAACAGCAAAACGAGTACACAAACTCACGAGAATAAAGAGGACTGGAGCACAGAATTGAACTGCTGAAGTACACAGCTGACGAGAATAAAGACAGGAGCACAGAAATGAACGGGAGGCAGTCTACGAAGTGGTGGTACCATCGGTGCAAGCACCATTAGTTACATTATCACATTATTGGTTTTGCAACGTTTGTGGGTACTGAATACCATGGTATGGCCAACTGTGTAGCAGTCTACAACGTGTAGGGAATGGCAGCTCGGCGGAATGCTGGGATGTTGCCCATGGCTCGCACCGTGTCAGGTATAACAGGCAACCGCGAGATGGCGGTCGGCATTGGCCTGCTCGGCTTCTGGCTGTTGGTTGTTGTTGGCCCCGACTGCGCTAAAGGCGAGTTGCTCCGCAGTTGCGAACAAACAGTGCCTGCAGAGCAGGATTGGCACGGTTATGAACGCACCGCCATACCAGCACGAGCAGGTCACTGGCCCTGGTATGACATTGATGTTCTTATAAAAATAATACGTATGTGTGCTTTAGGTCGCATGCTTACATTCCGACCAGCTCGACCTGTCCCTGTAAGGACTGTTTAGGACACGAAAGAAGACCTAAAAGGAACTAGTCGCCGGAAAAGGATCTGGTAGTTGCGTGAAAAATAGAATTTTGAAACACCTTTGTTGCCCTTATTCTTGTTGACTGCTTGTTACGCTAATGACCAATCATGTTTAGACGGCGTAGTAGGTGCATTAGTACCCATGATATTCACAAGTGGATCTGAATTTGTGATCAGGAAAGTTTCTGCTCTTGGTGAAACTCCCTGCCCGTGCAGGCATTTGACCATGACTGAGCTAAGGCAGTAAGGGAGGGTTTCAGGAACACGCTAGAGGCACCAGAAGGTGTGTGTGTGTGTGTGTGTGTGTGTGTGTGTGTGATGTGCGCGCGCGCGCGCGTTTGTGTGTGTGTGTGTGTTGATGCATGCATGTACGTGTGTGTGTGTTTGTACGTTCGCGAAACCACAAGATTGATCTACCTTTACTCGCTTCGAAATAGGGTCGCTGGAGCGCTGATGGGGGATAAGTTGTGAAACATTTTTGTTTCTACAAATTTGAACTCTGATGGTTAGCCAATTTAATTATGGTAAATAAGGAGAAGGACAAAATGTTACGAGTTATGACTAATTGTCCACCAACGTAACCAGATCTTATACAGTCAGCGAATGCGACACAATGACACAAGACTCCACGAAGTACTGAGACATTCAACGACCTGATACCAACACTTCTCCGAGGCGCAGACGTGTTGGAGCCAGGTATCAGGTCGCTGAATATCTCAGTACTCGTTGTCAGTTTTGTGCCATTTTGTCGCACTCGCTGACTGTATAATAATTACGATCTGGTTACGTTGGTGCAACATTTTTTCCTGATCCTTTTTTACAATATTGCGTAGTCTTATCAAGCGATCGACATGATTGCCAGATTTGTTGTGGGCTGCTTGTTCAAATGGTCCATTAATATGGTTCTGAGCTCAGTGTTCTGTTGTACTTCAAAGTACTCAGTTAAGACTGCAAACACGACCACCATCGAGCGAACCATCTGCCACCGTACCGACGACATACATGTACATCTACACGTACGTGACAATTTCGGCTCAGACCTACAAAGCCCAACTTGTTTGTTTGTTTGTATTTATTTTGATTCGCAAATTCAAACGGGCATAGAACCCAATAACATGAAAGCGAATATGAAAATTATAATGAGAATGAGAAATAAAATACTTACATGTAGATCTTCAGCGTAGAGTCAGAACAGAAAGAGAACAGAAAAAACAGAAGATCTCGCTTGTCTTCAGCATCTACAGGGCGCAGGTATAGGGGATTACCTGCGCGCGAAACTACTGAGCGTGATGGATGGCACGTATGTTGCTGGGGAGGGTATACCCAAGTACGAGGGTGTTACCTCCCGAATATCATCCCGACTGCGTAGCAGGCCAGGAGGGATGATATGAGGGTACGGTAACACCGAGTACGCGGGTCAATATCCTACTTATCCCAGGTACATCTACGCATTTTGGAGATCGACGCAACTGCGTTCTGAATACAATAACCAAGGTACAGCTATACCAAAAACAAGATGCTGCCTTTCTTTTCAATCCAGTCAAGGTTTGAGAGCGATGGAGCTCGGGAGACAAGTTGCATTTTAGTAGTTGGACTAGAGAATTGACGAAGATTGCACTGTTATGATACATAGTCATTTGGTTCAAAGTAAGGGCCATACTTCAAGTCACGGCGAGATACCACGTCATTATGGAGGCTGGTGCTGACTTCCTTGTCATTGGATCGGCGTGGAACTTTCAACGGTTTGGGATCCTTGCTGAACACTGTCCGTGCAGGCAGTAACCACATTGTACATATCGTCGGACATTGGCACCAGTGAGTAAAGTGCATTTCGTTGTATCAAGACTCTTCGTTGTATCACTCTCGGACACTATGCAATCAGAAGAACGTTGATCTTGTTATATTAAAGGCATACTGGATGTGTAGCAGCATCTACGTTTTAGATTGTCTTGTGGTAATCGTACTGGATACAATGTCATGAAAATCACTGCGGGTCGCATCTTGCATCCATATCTTATCTACATCATACATGGATTGCTGACCTCTTCTTCTTTCACACTGTTGAATATTCTGTACAAGATTTTTCCTCTCACTTTAACGTCTTGTACTTTTCGAGTTGTTACGGTATCTCTCCTTGCAATTAGTAATTTTCACTCGGATATTGATACTTTGTGTAGTTTTTGAGTTTACAAAGAGTGAATGAGAACAGATGCACTTCGAAGGTCTCTTTGTGTCGTAGTGTTGAGTTGAATAGTGATTGGAGTTCGTTGTTTGTTTGTGTGGAATCTGGTTTTGGACGTAGCCGCGGAGGTAAGTTCTCTCCGTTCACTTTTACTGTACCGACGGGGCACTCTGCATTGGCATGCTCCCACCCTCTCACGGTTCTGTGTAGTGCATTTTGTCGCTGGGTTCTGATCGAAAGGCTCCAGTGGCAAGATGCATTGCATCGAATCGAGAGGGGGTGGGGGCATGCCAATAGGCAATACAGGGTGCACCGTAGTAGGTACGGTAAAAGTGAACCCAGTTAATAATGAATATCATCCCGCGCGGGATTGTATTGGTTATTATTTCCCGGTCAGCAAGGCTCCTGATTGGCTGAAACAGGCCTATAGTACCGTACCATGGGATAATCCGTAATACAGCACCCTTGCAAGCAAAGCGCCCCCGCCCCGCAACTGAATGGGAAACTGGCACGCACAGGCCAATGGCAGATTGGAGCCGAGTAGGGCCGGGTGCAGCGGGGGTTAGCAGGGCTTGCAACTCTGGAATTGCCAGTGCGTAACGACAGCGCCACACCAGGTATGCTAGCTTCTCATTGAAGACTTCTGCCACAGCAGGTCGCGGGCAGACGACCACACAGGGCGGCCAAAGACAGCACGAGCCCCACTGTTCTGCAGGACCTGTAGACGGTCGAGGTACCTTCTTTGCAGTGAGCTAGAGAACGCGTTTGAGGCATACAGCAGGTCAGACATGATCAGCGATCTAAAGTAGGTCATGCGTGACTGGTGATTCAGGCAGCGGCGCATTCGCCAGAGTGCTCCGATCTTCTGCGACACGCAACTAACTTGAATGTCATATTAACGAGTTCACGACTTCGTCTGTTGGCAGAATGTGGTTTTGGCATGTAGTGAATGCTCCAGACGTCCTCGACCTTACAAGGAAAAGGTAATTGCCAATTAAATAGAGGCTATTTTGGTTTTGGCAAGTGACAGATTCTAGGGAATGATAACCAACGCTATGGCTCCTTGTCGTCTGCGTCTGAGCGCTCCATGTGATCTTGAAATTTAAAGAATGCTCTGTGGTACGGTATGACTGGTGTCTGTCCAACTCAAAAGCCATGTCCAGCTGCTGATTGGTTGAGTTGAGATTGGCTCATTTATAGTCATTATTCTGCTCAGCAAGAGCAGGCGGGTCAGCAGAAACACCTGCTCACACAAAGATGGTAAAGATTCTGTCAGGTCGATGCCAAATCACCGGAGGGTATCATTCTAGGATTGCATCTCTGTACGTGCGCTGTATAGTACATGTATATAAATATGCTTGTGGCACAGTCGTGTACACAGTGGCAGGGCAGCATGATCGACACTGGCTGTTGACGTACAAGCAGAACGCTGCTCAATTCAATACTAGCTCCGCCCTTCCACGAAATCTACTTCTGGAGAAAGACACTGCCACAGCATTCCTTCCTTACTTCGGTATCTACAGGGTACAAGCATGTGTTTCTTGCATGAGACATCGCGTTGATCAAGCTAACTCCCCACAGATCCAGCGTCAACTTGCTTTCCTCAATCACGCCCTTTATCCTTGTTCCCTCTTCCCTCCCTCCATTTAAGTATCTCTCTGCTGCACTCAACACTTCTCTTCGCCCCTTATCCATTTTGTTTACAAGTTATGCAGTATGCGCCGTTTGTAACGTTCGTCAATTCTGTTCATTTAAACATGCCACTTTGTAAACATCAAAACAAGACGTGCCTCGATTGTTTTTAGAAAGGAAACTGAAATGATGAAAACGGCATACTGCATCGCAATACTAGTAAATTATAACCATCACTATTTAGGGGAAATATTTTGCAACAAAACTTTATCGACAAACCCGTTTGCCCCCACCTGGAGCTCACTAGAATCATGTAGCTCGAAATATTCACTGATGCAGCACACTATAAAGAAATGGATCGCGAATGTGCTTAGGAATCAGCAAGGGATGTCTACTTTGCGTATTAATTTTCTACTGAAGCCCTCGTGCGGGTACTACTATGCATAATCTTAAATGCATACATGTACATGTATACTAAGTAGGTGAAACAAAAAGTAAAACAGATGAAAGAAAGTGGATCGTACACAACTTAACTGCGAGGTGAAAAACTTGAAAGGAACACACCAATCTGATCAAATTACTGATAATACCCAACACACGCATAGCTTATCGTTCCTCAGAAGCATGGTACAGTGGCCGTTACAAATCTTTACTATACTTTCCGAACCACGAACGCTGTCTGTATCCTTCCAGCTGAGCTACACTCCGCTTGAAAGCTTCCACTTCCTTCTCACGGGCTTGAACCTTCACCTCCAAACATGTTTTCTCGGCCTGATCCACCTGTCTCGCCATTTTTAATTCCATTTTCTCACGCTCCAGTTGCTGGAGCTTTTCCCTCAGCTTTTCCTTTTCGTCACGGTGACTGGCTCCCATGGTTTGGGCAATTTGTTCTTTGATGACTTGCTTATTCTCGTTCTGCTGTTGTTGCTGGGTTAGGAGCTGTTGTTGCTGGATTCGGAGCTGCTCTCGCAGCTCTCCATTTTCTCTCTTCCGTTCAGCCTCGTCCATTGCTGCTAACCTTTCCAAATACATCTTGTTCTGCCTTTCAACCTCATCCGAAGAGATCTTCATAGCAGCCGCTTGTTCTGTCACTTCTTTCAGTTTCCCGTTAATCTCAGCTTTCTCCGCTTCCATGGTCTGCCTCTGGGTTTCTTCGTTCTGCTTCAGGGTATCCATGGTCTGTTGAACGCTGGCCAGCTCCTTCTTAGTTGCGTTTAGCTCCTGTTCAAGTTTCTTTTCCTCGTCAATCTTGTCCTTGACTCTCTCTTGTATGCGCTGCAGCGTGTCTGGCGAATATCTCTCTTTGCAGTTCAGTATGAGATGTGCGAGAACTCGCTGTCGAGATTGGCATCTGTCTTCCATTGCAAGTTCGCGGCCTCTTTCCTTTTTCAGGGAAGGATTGCTGACCAAGAGAAACTTTTTAACGTGCTTCATGATGGGCGATTGCTGCTGCAAGTCTGTCCTCACCCTGACCTCCTCCTCTGGTTCATCATACTCAACGCAGTAAGTGCGAATAACACTGGTGTAGTTAAGCACTTCAGTCTGGAATATGACGCTCTTCATCATGTCGAAGGCTTCTTCCTCCTCCTTCGTGAAGCGAGAGGAGGTGACAAACAGCACTTGATTTATTCCTCCGGTACAATTATTGGCAATGTGAGCAAGCTGATTGAGGACGTCAACACGCTTTAGCTTTGTATCACCGATGCCTATTGTGTCAACGATCTTCAGCACATAGCGAGTGCCTCCAAAATTAACCGCTACCAGCTCAGTCGGTGTTTCCTTTGTGCAGGACATAGCCCCCGAAGACTCATTGAAAAGACTCTCTTTGCCTGCCAGCACGTTCGCCATGGTGGATTTTCCCGCTCCTGTTCTACCGATAAGAACAACAACACGATCGGGCTGCTCACCTGGCCTAGGATCAGGTCCTTCTTCGTACAGGCTTACCATGCTGCTCTTGCAAGCGGCCATTGTCACTGCCAATCGGTCTATCTTGGCAGCGAAACTAGTCTGTCCGAACGGATTAGATGCTTTAAAAAAACTGTTGAACGACGATCTTTGCGCATGTTCTAATACCGCATGCGCAGTGAATGCTGCTGCACTCTTACAGTATGCATGGTCATGCCCCGTGCGGCGCTGCTGTGTGCAAGGCGATCGTCCGCAAGAGTTGCAGTGTCTGCGGTAACAAGGCTAGAAGTGCATGGGGCAAAGAGAATTTGAATGACGATCACCGCCTGGCATTGTCAGTCCACAGTGACTCTGTGCAGAAAACAGTCCATTTGGGCCGAGTTTAGCTGTGAAAAGTGCTTGTTCGTGCACATTGCATGCTGCTGTATAAGTATTGGCCACAGTTTTTCGGAGAGTAGCATGAGACCTTTGCAGCGATTCTCTGACATTCGTAGCACTACAGATAAGGAAAATGGAGCATTCCGTTCTCCACCGCAAATCATTGTCTGGTCTGTGAATTTTCATCCTTTTTCTGTGTACACCCAAAGCACGACGTCGGTTGCCAGCTGTCAACTGTTGACAATGAAACTGACACTATGCTAGCGCTGCGAAGGGTGCACCGTGCATGGGCTCTATTGTCACAAGGATAGGTAAAAAATCATTGTACTCGTGCATACATGAATTCTTTCATTTGTTGTGGAATTTTGTCATTTTAATAAGAATAATTATTGTTTTATACATGTACACGTACAAGGTTATGAGCGCACAATTACAAACTGAAGTATTATTCATTGCTATTGGACGTGAATTTACACCATAATCGCCAGTTCCTGGAAGGGCATTGAGAACAACGCTCTCAGCCCCACTGTCGTATGCGTGATGTGCACACGAAACACTTGAACACTGTCTGTGCACAGAACTGTATTACGACAACAGTAGGCTTGATATGATATTTGGACGTCCAGCACAGTCCATAGGCGTGTTGTGCCACCATAATGTAATCAATGAATAGGAATGTAGCAAGGGTGGAATGGCAAACAATGATTGTACATGCCTGTGCACTGCGGATGTCAACTAGATGCAGAGGTGCCCTTCGAAAGTCTGTATACCGCAGGTACTACGGAACTAATAATAATATTTTTATTATTGCAAAGACTGCATCATCTCAAAAGCATGACAAGCCATTAGGCCACCCTTTGTTAATTCATTGTTTAACGTCCTTGTTGTAATCGTACTGGATACAATGTCATGAAAATCACTGCGGGTCGCATCTTGCATCCATATCTTATCTACATCATACATGGATTGCTGACCTCTTCTTCTTTCACACTGTTGAATATTCTGTACAAGATTTTTCCTCTCACTTTAACGTCTTGTACTTTTCGAGTTGTTACGGTATCTCTCCTTGCAATTAGTAATTTTCACTCGGATATTGATACTTTGTGTAGTTTTTGAGTTTACAAAGAGTGAATGAGAACAGATGCACTTCGAAGGTCTCTTTGTGTCGTAGTGTTGAGTTGAATAGTGATTGGAGTTCGTTGTTTGTTTGTGTGGAATCTGGTTTTGGACGTAGTCGCGGAGGTAAGTTCTCTCCGTTCACTTTTACTGTACCGACGGGGCACTCTGCATTGGCATGCTCCCACCCTCTCACGGTTCTGTGTAGTGCATTTTGTCGCTGGGTTCTGATCGAAAGGCTCCAGTGGCAAGATGCATTGCATCGAATCGAGAGGGGGTGGGGGCATGCCAATAGGCAATACAGGGTGCACCGTAGTAGGTACGGTAAAAGTGAACCCAGTTAATAATGAATATCATCCCGCGCGGGATTGTATTGGTTATTATTTCCCGGTCAGCAAGGCTCCTGATTGGCTGAAACAGGCCTATAGTACCGTACCATGGGATAATCCGTAATACAGCACCCTTGCAAGCAAAGCGCCCCCGCCCCGCAACTGAATGGGAAACTGGCACGCACAGGCCAATGGCAGATTGGAGCCGAGTAGGGCCGGGTGCAGCGGGGGTTAGCAGGGCTTGCAACTCTGGAATTGCCAGTGCGTAACGACAGCGCCACACCAGGTATGCTAGCTTCTCATTGAAGACTTCTGCCACAGCAGGTCGCGGGCAGACGACCACACAGGGCGGCCAAAGACAGCACGAGCCCCACTGTTCTGCAGGACCTGTAGACGGTCGAGGTACCTTCTTTGCAGTGAGCTAGAGAACGCGTTTGAGGCATACAGCAGGTCAGACATGATCAGCGATCTAAAGTAGGTCATGCGTGACTGGTGATTCAGGCAGCGGCGCATTCGCCAGAGTGCTCCGATCTTCTGCGACACGCAACTAACTTGAATGTCATATTAACGAGTTCACGACTTCGTCTGTTGGCAGAATGTGGTTTTGGCATGTAGTGAATGCTCCAGACGTCCTCGACCTTACAAGGAAAAGGTAATTGCCAATTAAATAGAGGCTATTTTGGTTTTGGCAAGTGACAGATTCTAGGGAATGATAACCAACGCTATGGCTCCTTGTCGTCTGCGTCTGAGCGCTCCATGTGATCTTGAAATTTAAAGAATGCTCTGTGGTACCGTATGGCTGGTGTCTGTCCAACTCAAAAGCCATGTCCAGCTGCTGATTGGTTGAGTTGAGATTGGCTCATTTATAGTCATTATTCTGCTCAGCAAGAGCAGGCGGGTCAGCAGAAACACCTGCTCACACAAAGATGGTAAAGATTCTGTCAGGTCGATGCCAAATCACCGGAGGGTATCATTCTAGGATTGCATCTCTGTACGTGCGCTGTATAGTACATGTATATAAATATGCTTGTGGCACAGTCGTGTACACAGTGGCAGGGCAGCATGATCGACACTGGCTGTTGACGTACAAGCAGAACGCTGCTCAATTCAATACTAGCTCCGCCCTTCCACGAAATCTACTTCTGGAGAAAGACACTGCCACAGCATTCCTTCCTTACTTCGGTATCTACAGGGTACAAGCATGTGTTTCTTGCATGAGACATCGCGTTGATCAAGCTAACTCCCCACAGATCCAGCGTCAACTTGCTTTCCTCAATCACGCCCTTTATCCTTGTTCCCTCTTCCCTCCCTCCATTTAAGTATCTCTCTGCTGCACTCAACACTTCTCTTCGCCCCTTATCCATTTTGTTTACAAGTTATGCAGTATGCGCCGTTTGTAACGTTCGTCAATTCTGTTCATTTAAACATGCCACTTTGTAAACATCAAAACAAGACGTGCCTCGATTGTTTTTAGAAAGGAAACTGAAATGATGAAAACGGCATACTGCATCGCAATACTAGTAAATTATAACCATCACTATTTAGGGGAAATATTTTGCAACAAAACTTTATCGACAAACCCGTTTGCCCCCACCTGGAGCTCACTAGAATCATGTAGCTCGAAATATTCACTGATGCAGCACACTATAAAGAAATGGATCGCGAATGTGCTTAGGAATCAGCAAGGGATGTCTACTTTGCGTATTAATTTTCTACTGAAGCCCTCGTGCGGGTACTACTATGCATAATCTTAAATGCATACATGTACATGTATACTAAGTAGGTGAAACAAAAAGTAAAACAGATGAAAGAAAGTGGATCGTACACAACTTAACTGCGAGGTGAAAAACTTGAAAGGAACACACCAATCTGATCAAATTACTGATAATACCCAACACACGCATAGCTTATCGTTCCTCAGAAGCATGGTACAGTGGCCGTTACAAATCTTTACTATACTTTCCGAGCCACGAACGCTGTCTGTATCCTTCCAGCTGAGCTATACTCAGCTTGAAAGCTTCCACTTCCTTCTCATGGGCTTGAACCTTCACCTCCAAACATGTTTTCTCGGCCTGATCCACCTGTCTCGCCATTTTTAATTCCATTTTCTCACGCTCCAGTTGCTGGACCAAAGCATTCAGCTTTTCCTTTTCGTCACGGTGACTGGCTCCCATGGTTTGGGCAATTTGTTCTTTGATGACTTGCTTATTCTCGTTCTGCTGTTGTTGCTGGGTTAGGAGCTGTTGTTGCTGGATTCGGAGCTGCTCTCGCAGCTCTCCATTTTCTCTCTTCCGTTCAGCCTCGTCCATTGCTGCTAACCTTTCCAAATACATCTTGTTCTGCCTTTCAACCTCATCCGAAGAGATCTTCATAGCAGCCGCTTGTTCTGTCACTTCTTTCAGTTTCCCGTTAATCTCAGCTTTCTCCGCTTCCATGGTCTGCCTCTGGGTTTCTTCGTTCTGCTTCAGGGTATCCATGGTCTGTTGAACGCTGGCCAGCTCCTTCTTAGTTGCGTTTAGCTCCTGTTCAAGTTTCTTTTCCTCGTCAATCTTGTCCTTGACTCTCTCTTGTATGCGCTGCAGCGTGTCTGGCGAATATCTCTCTTTGCAGTTCAGTATGAGATGTGCGAGAACTCGCTGTCGAGATTGGCATCTGTCTTCCATTGCAAGTTCGCGGCCTCTTTCCTTTTTCAGGGAAGGATTGCTGACCAAGAGAAACTTTTTAACGTGCTTCATGATGGGCGATTGCTGCTGCAAGTCTGTCCTCACCCTGACCTCCTCCTCTGGTTCATCATACTCAACGCAGTAAGTGCGAATAACACTGGTGTAGTTAAGCACTTCAGTCTGGAATATGACGCTCTTCATCATGTCGAAGGCTTCTTCCTCCTCCTTCGTGAAGCGAGAGGAGGTGACAAACAGCACTTGATTTATTCCTCCGGTACTGTTCCGATGAAGAACTGAGACCCCGAGTTCTCCGATAGTGAGAGACCCGCTCTGGTACACAATGCTCTCCGTTGTGAGAGACTCACTTCTTCCGCCCAATGGCAATGCTTGGACACTAAAAGTAATGACTGTTCTCTTTCTGTTCACCCAGAAGTCCGAATTATGCTTGAACATACACAAGAATAATACCCTCGCCGGGCAAGCTCGTAATCAGGCATGCGTAACAGCACTAGCAGGCAGCTGCAAGCAATACTAGCACGGTAGTCTACAGTACAATGCAGTGGTACACGAACTACATGAAATCAAAGGATGAATCACCACCGATATGACAGAGTCCTGTGGTCTCATATAACCACAACACAGCGTACAATGAGACACGGCCTATGGC